TCCCCTCAGCCTGGTCCAGCCACTTGGGTCCTCAGCAATGAGGATCTTGCGAGTCGGATCACGCGCCACATGTCCGTAGTGCCATAACTGACGCTCCCTCACAATGCAGGTAATGTGCCTCATTCGGGACTCCTCTAGCAACCGCTCATTCGACACAAAGTCAAACCAGCGGTATCCAAGGATTCTCTGAAGAGACACAGTACCAGAGGAGTCCAGTCTTTGTCTCAGCTCACTCAGTAGCGTCCATGTCTCACAGCCATACAGCAAGACAGGGAGCACCAGGACTCTAAAGACTTGGACCTTCATCCTCTTGCAAAGATATTGGGAACGCCACACACCCATTTCCAGCAACCTCATGACCCCCCATGCTTCATCTGCTGACTTCATTGGAGGAGTCACCAGAGACATGAATGTCGCCGCTGAGATAGGTAAATCTCTCAACATGGTCGACATTCTCCTCACAGACAGACACACTACTGTTGGCTGTGCCTAAGAAGTCATTAAATGCCCAGATCTTGGTCTTTATCTAGGACACCCACAATCCTGGATATTCAGACTCCTCGCACAGTCTATCAAAAGCCCCAATCAGAGCCTCCATTGATGCTCCATCACAGCATCATCGGCAAAGTCAAGATCAGTAAATCTTTCTTCACCAATGGACGCCCCACAGCCACTGGACCCCACAAACCTGCCCAACACCCAGTCCATACAAGCACTGAACAGAGTAAGAGCAAGAACACACCCCTGGGGAACCCTAGAATCAACTGGGAAGAATGCCGAGGTTCTCCCTCCACTCTGCACAGCACTCACAGTACCAGTGTACAGGCCGGTCATGACGTCCAGCAACTTCGGGGGGATCCTGCAAAGTCTCAGGAAGACCCACAGAGCAACTCGATCAACTGAGTCAAACGGCTTACGAAAATCAACAAAGGCTGCAAAGAACCTCTGCCGATATTTGTGCTTCTGCTTCATGAGAACCCTCAGTGAGGGTACGGTCCAGGATACGGTTGATGGTAGACTTCTTAGGAGTAAAACCAGACAGCTCTGGTCGCTGCCAGGCAAGCAAGTGATCATGGATCCTATTCAGGATGACCCTAGCATGGACCTTACCCGGTACTGAAAGCAGTGTTATCCCCATGTAGTTCCAGGCGATCACCCTTCCCTTTCCAGATAGGGGCTACAAGTTCCGTTTTCCAGTCAGTTGGGATGATGCCTGACTCCCAAATGGAAGCAAAGATTGCCTGCAATGCCAGGAGGACAGCCTTACCCCCAGCCTGGAGAAGTTCACCCCGGATACCTCAGATCCCTGCGGCCTTCCCTGCCCCCAGCTGATTCACCACCTGTGCCATCTCAGTGAGACTGGGTGGTTCACAGCTGATCGGAGAATCAGCTTTGAGAACCGTAGACCCTGAGATGTTCAGCATCCTAGCTGTAGGTGGTAGCCTTTCCTCCCAGGATAGCCTACTGGATGTCTCCCTCAACAAGACATCACTCACCGCGGTCAGAGCATACACTGAGACAACAGACAAGACACCCAAGGAGTGCCTTAGCCCGAGTCTCAGACCAAAAGTAGGTATACCCACCTACAGAGATCTGGCCACTCCCCAGTCTGCGTACCTCAGGGAGTGCTGCCACTGAAATGCGGCGTTTACAAAGCTCCTCTGACAGCAGAAGAAGATGGTCATCTTGCCAGAGAGGCAAAAAGTTCCACGTGCCTACCCGGCTGGGTCGCCTCAAACTGGGACCTGAGTGCCACCATACAGCAGGCAACTGCTCAGCTCCACACCAGCCCTGATCCCCAACAGGCCTGACCCTACTAGCTCTCCAATGGTATCGACTCGTCCAGGGATGAGGCTCCTGAAGGCTTTCCTCCATCCCCTTCATGGTGCTTACAAGCCTTCCTGCGCATGGCTGCAGCAGAGCTACTCCCGCGGAGAGCTGAAAAGTATCTAGCTTGTTTTAATCAAGCAGTTGTGAGTTGTTTTATGGTGTCTGGAGAGCCAATCCCACCACCAACCCCCAAAAAATTCCCTGCAAGTTGGAGGACCGCTTGCAGGGCCGGATGCAGTTCACATCATACCTCAGATTAGTTTCAACCCTAAATCCATTGACATTTAGTTCACCCATGAATACCCAGTTTCAAGGTAAGTTTTTTAAACTGAGTAGCCATTATTATCCCATATACAGCTTTTCTGTCAAAAATCACACCCTGAACTTGTGCAAAATAAGAATTATGAGTGCTGATTTTTAATAACACTTTATCTGCAGAGTAGTACATGTAGCCAGATTTCTGTTGCTCTTGCATTAACACAAACCAGCACAATAGTGGAAAAACATGGACATACGACAAATACATACGACAACAATAACAATGTGTTAATGGGTTAAGTACACTGGTAATACATGTAAGATATTCCTTAATAGACTGTTTTCGTCTTTGTAACCAGGGAAAGTTAGCACTGACAATTCCTTCTGTGTTTAATGTGTGTTGGACTGTTGGAGAAAACTCACAGATTTAAACAGGCCTCTTTAATAATTAAACACCCACATGTGCCTTATAAACAATTGTGTATTGAAGATGAAATAAGCCTACGATGTGATTCAGAGAATTTTTACGTGGACCCCAGTGAAGACACAGACTACCTGGAATATCATAAGGAAACAAGGTCTTCATGGAATTTCACCAACCTTCTGATGAATGACTATGAAGAATGTTTCTTTATTTAAGCAAATATTTACCACAATTAGCTGCAGGTGATTCCACCCCTATACAGTAGAATTTCAGTCATAACAAATTAATAGATAAGGCTGCATTAATTAAATTATTTCACTCAATTTCTGCATGGTTTATTATGAGTCGGCTCTTGTAAACATACTTGTAAAGCTTTCAAATACCTACAGTGTCCTCGTTATTTTTCGTGGATGGAATTAATGGCAGAAAGTATGACCCAGAGCACTAGACCTCTGGGATTCAGGCCTTGATTTCTGAAGCATTCCAGACTGTGTCAGTGTGGTGCCTTTATTCAGGCACACAGAGAAACTTACCTCTCATGTCTTGGGATAACATAGCAGCTTCCTGCTGTGACCTGTTGGCCACCTGCTGCATTCGTCTCTGGTTCTACAAAGCACCTCACTTCCATTGTCTGACAGAGGTACCCTTGACTCTAACTTCCAGCGGAAATTCATGTTCTGCTCCTTCATTTGCCTTATCTTTAATGTCCCAACAGCACTTAAACTAGACTGCTGGAATATATGTATTCAGTACTAGCGTCAGTATCCACTGCCCCATTTTCAGCCATAGCTTCTCTGTTATCTTTGTTGAACTAGAAGGTCCTCTTGACTCTGACTACCTCTGAACCTTCTGTGAAAGTCAAATTTCAGTCTTTGTTGGTGCATTACAGAAGACTCTCCCTGACTTTGGTTTCTATTATACATTAAAACTCAAAAAATTGTTGCCCAGAAGTTTTGAGACTCACCAGAAGTAAGTAAAGTTCTATCAATACCAGGCTGTGGAATAATACACCATCTAAAAAATATAACATATATTGATATTGGCCTTGGGTTTTATAGTGAATTTCAGTAACATTCATGTTACTTAACACTGAATCAATGAAGAAGTACTACTGTCACAAAGCACTTCAATAAATCACATTGCGCTACATATCTGTTTGTGCTCAGGATCACCTTTCATTTTTATTGCCGTCTTCCCTGTCATAGCTGATGTTGGGACTAACAAGTTCCTTATTAATCAGCAATCACTGGAGCTCAGGGACACAAAGTCAGGGGCATTTTTGGAATGTACAGGACACGTTTGGGTGCTTTTAAAATAAGTTATTCATTTTCCCCCTTTACACCCACCGTGAGGAGAGCTCATTTCAGGTGAAACTCTTCTGAGCAGAGTGTGCAGTAGCTGCTCCAAAAGCCTTTATAAATCCAAAGAAATCAAAGCAGGACAGGTGCTAACAAAAACATAAGGCACATCAAAAAGGGAGTATGGAGGCAAGAAGGAAGCAGCTCTTCACTTCTTCCTGACTTTTGTGATGAGGTTGAAAGTGTGTGTGTGTGTGTGGTCCAGGTCCAGGGGCCAAATGTCCCCACAATATGATAAAAATCTGTTATTTTGACATTGTGGGGACCATTTTTTCGGTCCCCACAAAGGGAAAATCAATCTTATAAAGATCTGTGACTGCAATCAAAAAAGTAAAAATGACAAAAGTCTGTTACTTTGTGGTTACTTATGGCTAAGGTTAGGGCTGGGTAGGGGTTAAGGTCATCATGTTGTGATGAGTTTTCTCCATAGAAATGAATGGAGAGTCCCCACAAAGATATAATTACAAACCTGTGCCTGTGTGTTTAATACAGTACTGGTGTCTTCTGGCTCTGAAAATCTATTCCATTTAAATGCATGCATTAGAACTTAAAATGATCTTCATGTGTCTGTAAATGTTTGTATGTTGGGGAAACTGTAGAGATCTTTTTTGTAGAAGCAGATAGCATTCTTATGGCTGGGAATTGTCTTTGGTGGGTTTCTAGTGGGGAAAATGTTTTTAAAAGGTTATTTATTAAGTTAGTAGGACAGCAGACATCACCTACAAATATGAAAGGCAGCATAATTAGCACATAGCTTTCTGCGTTCTACTCAATGCAGCTCAGGCACGTCGAGCTTGTCATCTAGATCTTGGGGGGGGGGGGGGGGATGAGGCTACTGTTTGTGCTGCTCGCAGGTGTATTTAAAGAGCCACATGCTCTTCGACTTACAATTGCTGCTCAAATTAAAGTTACAGGGCACACAGGGGGTGAGCAGGTCAAGGTCTTCAGTTTACTATATGTGGGTTTTTGTTTTCCAGAATATTCCAAAAGCATCTAACATTTAGAATCAACACTAATTACTTCAATTGCAGTTGAACATTAATAAAATTTCCAGTAGATTTTATACTTGTAATGTACCTGTAGAATGTATAATGAAAGTATAATTATTACATACCTGATGAGTCAAAATGTCTGGTTAATATCTTTAATATTTATGTTAAAAAATTACATTTCACATGTTTGTTCTTCTGCTCATTTTTTTGCCCGGAAAATATGAAGCTTTTTTTCCCCCGCAAAAAAAATACATTTCAATTGGCAAAAATTTGCATGAAGCTTTAGCTGCAGTTTTGGGTTACACAAAAATAATATCTTTAGCAATCTGCTGTAAGAACATATTTTTTTTCTTTTCACAAAAATACAATTCACATTTGATGCAAATCTTTTTTTCCAAAAAATTCCCTTAAAATTAAGAGCACACTGCAAGACACAGCAAATTATTCTCATCTTGGGGTTAAAACTCTAACTGCGCAGTTCGCACATCATACAATATATACTAAAAGTGCATCAGTATGTATGTATAAAATGATGATTCTACAACATGATCACTGTTAGACATTTACACTGTTAATATATTCACAGCGGTCTCATAGGCAACAGTTTTGTTCGCTTTTTAAAAATAGTTGAGTTTTAACACCAGTAAAAAGCATCATAAAAATGAATCCTGCAGCTATCACCCAATGCTGTGCAATGAAAGAGCCACGTATCAGTTTATAATCCCAGGGTTCTTTAAAATGCTCCTCTCTTCGTGCATCTGGTGTCCGGCTGCAGCTGCTCACTGGTTAAGAGCATCTCAGTGCTGAGCAACTGCTTTAGCTGTAGGGGCAAATGCCAGAGAGAAGGGCTCAGCTCTTACTGCAGCACCACGGAAACATGCGACAGGTCTGCATATTTTACTGCAGCGCCACGGAAACATGCGACAGGTCTACATATTACTGCAGCACCATGGAAACATGCGTCAGGTCTGCATATTACTGCCACGACTCAGCTACCCTTAGCGCTCACTTTTCATCTGGAAATCATTCATTGTTTTAAATTCTTTTACTGCATTCAATTTAATGTAACATACAAAACTTCATTCTGTGAATTGGAGCCATGTGTTTAATTCCAAGATAATTTACAATTAGATGACGAGGAATGTGGGCTGACAGGTTTATTAGGAAGTTTTAGTAAATAGCCAGAAGGAGACAATGTGCACTACTGTACACTATGAATCACCTCATCATATTCACTGTGCACAATAAATCACCTTGGTGTGTTCACTATGCACTATGATTCACCTCAGTGTGTTCACTGTGCTCTGTGAATCACCTCAGTGTGTTCACTGTACTCTGTGAATCACCTCAGTGTGTTCACTATGCACTATGAATCAGCTCAGCGTGTTCACTGTGCTCTGTGAATCACCTCAGCGTGTTCACTGTGCTCTGTGAATCACCTCAGTGTGTTCACTATGCACTATGGATCACCTCAGTGTGTTCAATGTGCACTATGGATCACCTCAGTGTGTTCACTGTGCTCTGTGAATCACCTTGACATGTTCACTGTGCACTTTGGATAGCGTTAGCATGTTCACTGTGTTCTGTAGATCACCACGGTCCCTGTGTTCTGTGGAACATCATGTTTTATCAATCACTATGCTTACTGTGATCTATGTATTACTGAGTTCACTGAGTTCTATGGGTCACATTACCATAATCACCGTGTTCACCACTACACTCTGAGACCTCACAGCTGCCTCTCTCAATGTAAAATAAATCATTTGAACTATTTTTAATAATCAGCACAGTATTTTCATTGAATCATTGTGTTCTGTGGCTCACTGTGTTCATTGTGTTCTATGAATCACCATGGTCACTGTGTTCTATGAATTACCATATTCACTGTGTTATGTGGAACATTATATTCTGTGAATAACCACAGTTACTGTGTTCTATGAATCACCATCATCACTAATTTATGCATCACCATGCCCAGTGTGTTAACTCTGTGCCTTAGAGCTGCTTCCCTCAGTATAAAATGTATTATTTAATATTCATTCATTCAGGAGCATTCAAGACCATGCAGGTAAAGAGGAAAACGATGCTTCTGTTTTTATTTTCAGAGTCACTGTGCAAACCCGCCGTACCCCTGAGAAAAGGGCCGTGGGCACAATGCAAGCCTGAAACAGGGGGTTCCGATACCAGCAGCTGTGCTGCTGTGCCCTTAATTAGGGTATTCAATCTGCAGTGGCATCAACATCTCCGGCTCTAATGCTGGAAATAAACAATAAAGTCTCATGTAATTCTCAGAATATGAGTATATAACATGACGTTATATGCAGGTAATGGAAACATACACTGACACATTTAAATAATTTTTATATTTTCTCAATTTGGGGTGGCTCTATGATTAGCACTGCTACCTCACAGTTCCTGGGCTGAAATCCCTCTATCCAAAGAGTGTCTGTGTGCCTGACACTGCCTGGGATGCCTTCAGGCAACCCTGACTTGGATACGCAGTTGGAATGGATGGATATTTTCAAAGAGGAGCACTAACACACAGTGTCACAATTACATTTGACTTTCGTTTTGCCTGTATATGAAAAAGCAGAGAATAAGAAATGGAAAATACACAACATACATGACGAGCAAGCATCATGGGGCGGAAGAAGGGAGCCGGCAGAAGCTGGGCACCGGAATGACGCCAATGGCAGACATGACATGAGTGTTCATGCACAAAGGTGAGCATGCAGGGCCAAACAGCCCAGCCCTGTGCACCCAGTACACTGTGGAAGCAGATGGGGGGGCAGTGATATGCTTGGGAGAAGGATTAATCAGGCAGAGCCGGTTACTCAGTGTGTGTGTGTGGATTATAGTTATATTACTATATTATATATGGATATATTATATTATATGGATTATAGTTATATTATTTTATTATGATAAAAGCCTGTTATTTTGGCATTATGGGGACCATTTTTAAGGTCCCCTCAAACACCTGTGGATGCAATCAAAAAAGTAAAAATGCTAAAAGTCTCATACTTAGTTTGGTTATTTACATGTATGGTTAAGGTTAGGGCTGGGTAGGGGTTAAGGTCGCCATGTTGGGATTAGAATTTTTTCCATAGAAATGAAGGAAGAGTCCCCACAAAGATATCATTACAAACCTATGTGTGTGTGTGTGTGTGTGTGTGTGTATGTGTATATGTGTATGTATTCATGTGTGTGCCTATTGATTCTGCCTACACATTATATTCTCCAGTTCCATGTTCATCCTCTACCGGGTTCTAATACTGCAACATGCAGGACAAGTGAGACATTCAGAGAGGAGAGATGGGAGCACAGTAACATGCCATTTAAAACTCATCTGTCTCATTGCCAAGGTGGATATTAGTGGGCTCCAGTCTCTGTGATTCAGACAAAAATGTCCTTCCTCCTAGTGCTGGCACAGAGACAAACAGCCAATCCAGCACATGCTGCCTGGTTAAGCCGGGGCCGAGTGCACGGACAGCAGGAATGGCACATGCCTGGACGAGCAGCGAGCGCAAGCTGCGAAAGCTGCTGAAGCGGATCAGCGAAGCCCCGCACGCACCAGCAGTGTCAAACGAGCGGTTAGTCCTTACTTTGATCGCTCTTATTAGACAAACGTGTAGTGAAATCCATTGCTTAGGGGAGGGGGAGGCGGCGGTGCAGGAGGGGGGGTGGGGGAATCGCGCACCTGCTGTGGCGCTGCAGGGAGGCACACAGGGACAGAGTGGCGTTAGGCATGCAGCGGCCACCAGGGGGCACTACAAACCCCATCATCCCTACCACACTAGATATTTACTTCTAACACACTCATTTACCTTGAATATATAATTTTACTTACAATTTGATTCCTATTATGTGTTTGTACTCTCATATCTCTAATACATATACATATAATGTATATGTGTGCAGTTTCCATACTTCACAGTAACCCCCCCCGGGAAAGAAAGTTGTTAGAATTAGTACATGCTAAAGGACTGACAGTGTGGGGTGTCAGAGACACCTGAGGTACGCAAGCTGGCTGACAAAGACAGAAGAGCTGCATCAAAACACCGTGGTGTTCCGATCCGCTTCTTATAAAATCATGGTTCCAGGGCAGTAGGTGGGAATGCCAGAATAGAGGTCATGAATTTAATCAATTTAAAGTTGGAAAATATTCAAAAGTAACAGATTAGGACAGCTGTCACACAATATCTCAGGCAAAAGGAGGATTCCCTATATGTGTCACTACGATAAAAATAAATGAAACTCTGGGCATTTTTTATAACTTTCTGCAGTGTCACAGCTTGGCTGTGCAGAATCGCCCCCCCCCCCCCCCCCCCCTTCCGAGACACGAGATACCTGACTCTGTCTATAAATAACTGCAGGCCTGCTGTTAGGCTGACGTTACTGCTCACTGTGCTGCAGAGCGCTTACCTGCTGCCTCAGACGGCAGCGTGTAGGACACGGCCATTGCGCGCTCCTGGGGGGCTGCCTCGCTACCCGGCATGGCCGTCTTGTCTGGCTCGCCGGACAGCATGATCTGGACACTTACAGACACACACACATGCAAGTCAAGTTGTAACCTTCATGGCTCAGACATTCCAGTAACCCTGGCGCTGCAGGTCGGGCCCTTTACGGCGAGAGCTGCAGGCGTTCTTATGGTATCCCAGGTGTAGATCAGGTCACATCCCAGAACCCCTGGCGCCATGGCAGTGAGGTGCGGTACCTGGACAGGCCTAGGAGGGTCTTGATGCGCTGTGCCTTACGGTGTCGCGTCTCCATGTCCTGCTGGATGAGCTGCTCGTCCCGCTCGGAGTCCATGTAGTGCTGGGGGACAGGCAGCTTCGGGGGCAGGGAGAGCTGCAGATGTGCATGCATACACACACACACACACGCATACACACGCACACACACACACACACACACGCACACGCACGCACACACACACACGCACACACACGCACACACCATATATGTTAGTATTTATATCTTTGTGGGGACTCTCCATTCATTTCTATGGGAAAAACCGTAATCCCAGCAATGACCCAGCCCTAACCATAACCATAAGTATCCAAACAAAATACGAGTTTTTTTTTGGCATTTTTAGATTTTTAAATGCTGTCAGATTTATATAAAATTGAGTTTCCTCTTAGGGAACGAAATGATTGGCTTATAGTGGGTCATAAATCTTAGCCCCAGGTGCAGGTACAAGCATAAGAGTTATGTATATGTGTATATAGTCATGTGACCAAGCAAGCGAGGGGTCTTTGCCTGATGGTGGAGGTCCAGGTTGTCGTCCAACTTCTCCAGGTCCCGCCCCCTCATCGGCATGGCGATGGCGGTCAGCCACTCGTCGGAATGGGGATGGGGGAGCTCCTCTCTTTGGACAGTACGCTCCAGGAGCTGCAGGTCGAAGTCTTGCTCTCGCTTCCACTGCGGGGTCAGATAGACAGGCGTGTCACCCCCCATCCTGCCCCACACGCACCCCCCCGCTGGAACAGCACATGCCATGTTCTGGGTACCTGTGCCCCTGAGATGACCATTTCTCAGATGTCTTTACTAAGTGCGGACAGAGGATGCTGCTTCGGTTCACAGTAACATACAGTGCCCACCCAAGGCCCCCAAAGATAACATCAGCCTAGCTCTCTGCTACAAAACCAGTGAGCATAGTGGAAATGTACATTCTTGTGGCTGTATAATACGTTTGTGCTGAGCCTACACCACGACCTACGCAAGCGGCCTATTCTGTCACAAGCATTTATACTTGTGCACTGGTGTGTCTGTATCTCAGCAGTTATACTGCTAAAACTCCAGGTGATACATAGTTTTGGATGTTCTACTTATTGTTTTCCCACCCTGTGTGATTGTTGAATCATGCAACTGAAACAGAAAAACAAGCATTTAACAAAGTGTCCATTTATCAAGTCCTGCTTATATTTCTGCTGCTTCATAACTTCCCGCAGACAAATTTGGAATAATGTTGAGCTGCTACAAAGTCACTTTTTATGCATTTTCCCCTTTTAAAATTTGCGTCTATACCACCTTTTACTGTTTCTTTAGTCTTGTAAAGTACAAATAAACTTAATGGAGGTCAGTGAAATTGGCGCCATCATCCTGAGTGTTTTGTAGACCTGTAGCTACGATGCCTCGGGGTATTGTGGTTATTTAATGCTAGATATAAGTAGCACTTCAGTTTCAGTCAGTGATATAAGTACAACTAGAATGTTCACTTTCGTCGCCGCGTCGTCGCAACGTTTCTGGGGAGGTGCACATTAGGGTACAGCATAGGGCACGAGGCTAAGTCGTGCGGCGTCAATCTGACGCAAAAGAATAAATAAATACTTAAACTTGAAAGAGAGATAGAGTGAGAAAGATAGAGAGTGAGAAAGATAGAGAGAGAGAGGAGAGATAGAGAGAGCTCTAGAATATGAATGATGGATTTTCAGCCTCCTATTGACCACAGCTCAATCTGTTGATCTCCAGTAAACACTCAACACACCACAACTGCTCTGCACATGCGGTCAAATTAACCAGAATATCTGACATCATTTAATACTGTTCATAAGAAACAGGTGTCAATCAAATGAGCTTAATTTTATTTATTGTCAATCAGTAAATAGCTAACAAGCACACACACACACACACACACAGAGCACGTGTCCCTCTGAGATACGGTGAGTACTGTTTGATTTGGGAGCAGCTTGTCGTACTTGAGATGGGCCCTCAGAATGAATCCCCCAGTCAAGTGTGTGTGTTTGGTTGAAGGGGGGGGGGGTCTGCATGAATTCGTTTACCAAAGTCCCTGGCCTCATTGTGCTACAAGATAAAATGGCGGACCTCTGCAGAAATGACACGTATACAGACTTAAGAATTATCGGTAATGAAAAAACCAGCCAGCATCCATTGATTAGCAAAGTATTTTATTTTATAAGTGCACACGTCTACATTAAAAAAAAGATATTGTGCATCAGTTATTGTACTTGCAGTCTAAAACTCTAATTGGTAGGTATACAGTCAATAATGTAGTTCTGGTTATCAGTGATAGGATACTAATAAAAGGCACTTCATCACTGCTAACAAAGGCTTCATCTTCTGATAGTATCTCATGGACAAAAAAATTCACCATTTCCTGTGACACTAACCCCCCAGTTTTGTGCATCAGCAGTGACAGCAAAACAAATACTGCTTCAGCTGTAGCCGCCAACCTGCCAGAATTACAGTATCTCATCGTCTTTGAGGACAAACCTTATGACAGTTTATCAAAATGGTCAGAAACAGGACTCTCTGCATCAATGATCACTACAGGCATGTAACTTCCTGTGTTACGTGTCACGCATGCATTATTTACTGCAGGTGATCAAGTTCTGCGACAAGCTGCACGCAGGAGTGTAAGTTCTGGTTATGTCCAAGGTTCTAGTAAAATCTTTTTTTAAAAATCAAATTTAAAAAGCAGCACAATGAGGCCTGGCGAGAGGGACAGTTGGTTAGACAATATAATGGGTGATCGACCCAGTTAAAAGCATGAGCGTTAGCGAGCTAGGAGTGGTGCGTCAGGACACCGACTGACGGACGGCTGGGAAGCGGGAGATCTGGGTGAGGGAGGAGGTGAGAGGACAGGGCCAGTAAGGCGGAAGCTCACTGGATCACTGCCTCACAGCATCGTCACGGCAATATCGCTTAGCCACTCTGGGAATATGTTCCACTACTTCAGGTGGGGAGGAAATGGGGGTGTTTCAGTGATGCTGAGATTGACCCTTCGACCCCCACCCCCCCCCCAAACCTGAGCCGCCAGAGTGTGGTGTTCATGGAGGGGGTCGACCAGCCCATCCATCGTCATACAGTGCAGTGAGGGGGCCTGTGGCAGTATAGCAGCCACACAGCAGGATTTATAAATCTGAAACCTACAAAGACCAAATGTACAGAGAGCAGGACACGCACTGCGGTTCACTGGGGAACATACGAGTTATGCAATTAAAAACAACTGAAATGTATAATGATCAGTGCCCACCAAGGAACTGGCAAATCCTTCACAGTGTTGACCTCCTTATCTTGGGGCCTGAAATTCAGACTGTGGAGCTCGGTGTTACAGAAAGAGCAGGTAGAGGATGTATCTTCCCACTAGGTGTCTGAGAATTTCATGTTAGTGTCTGTGATGGGAAAGGAAGCTTGATGAAGCTCCTTCCCTCTCTTAATTAATTCTGTTACCCCAGTGTAACAGGAACACTGCCAAATGGAGAGTGCCCCTCCCTTCACAGCTGGCCTGCATCCCCAGCGCACTTACCTGCAACCCCAGATCCCTCAATACAGAGGATGGCCTAACTGTGAAGCAGGCCTAACTGTAAAGCAGGCCTAACTGACAGGTTATTGCGTTATGCTGGCCTTGTTGGCGGGGGAGTTTAGTCGTTTTAGCGGTTCTAACGTACTGAGCCCTGGTCTGTGGAGGGGGGCCGTGAGGCAGGGGCCGAGGCACGGGAGGAGGTGGAGGAGGCGGCCGAGCGCTCCCCTTGGCTGAGGTTCCGCTTACGCTCCCGGACCAGCGCCTTCTGGTGCCGCTTCATGCGCTCCAACTGCTCTTCGGCGCTCATGCGGCCCCCCTGCTGCTCCCCCGAGTACAGCCTCTCCAGCGCGCTCCTCGGTCTCTCCTGGGGGGGCATTAGCACGGGCAGCAGGAACAGTCAGTCAGAGCGTGCAAGTGGACAAACACAAGCAATGGCAACAAAAAGGGTCCCAGCTAGGAATCCAGAGGTGAATTATGAGGGATGCTGGGAGGCACCAGGCACAGGAACAGGGACAGGAACAGGAACAGGAGCATGAACGTGTGTGAGAGAGGCACAGTGATCGTGACAAATCCAAGACCATAGTGCTCTGCAGCAAGACGCATGGCAGGGGGGCAGGAACAGGAAAAGAGGGGGCAACAAACTCAGAATGGGACAGGGGGAGAGAGGAGGTAGCAAATAAAATGGGATAAAAAAGGCAAGAAGAAGAACAAACAGCAACAGAAAGCAAACAAAACAGTCGTGCCTAGCGAGCTGTGTTAATATTCTTGTGATTTTTTGATTACACCGCACACAAGTTGTGCTGAGGTACAGATTCTTTACCACTTATAAAAACCGTAGTTATTAAGTGGAAATAGTTCTGTTACCATTCTGTACAGCCCTTATGTATACATGGTAATAATTAAACAGATCTCAGTGTCTCTGCAGCTCGAATGACCCGTCATTCCCCAATTCACCTTCAGGCTGCACGCTGAGATTCCCCTTCGGAGTGTAACGTACGAGGAGATGTTGGTGGATTGGTTCAGCCTGGATGTGGAGCCAGTCAGGCCTGTGAGAAAGGAAGATGACGCAGGAGCCCACACACACCCCAGCGCCGTGCGAAACGGCACCCAGTCGTCAGCTACACAAATCCGCAAACAAACAGGCCCAGACTCACCCCTGCTGGGCAAAGTCTGGTAGCCGTTTCCAGTCCCCGGCATCGCTGCACTGGCCTGCCCAGGACCAAACAGCTCTGGCTCGCTCTGGTAGGGCCTCAACTCCACCTGGGATACAAAAGCAAAACGGTAGCTGAGGACTGCATTGTGCTGCGTACAGTCATCCCTCCATCTTCCATTTTCACAATTTAGAGACACCACTCTGCTGAAACACGAGAGGAAACCCACCCAACACACAGAACAGGAAATCACACATACGGTGTAATGGTGGGATTTGAACCCCCCAACACTAAAGTCTGATGCCACCCACTGAGCTACCGTGTCCCTCTACAATTATAACATCACACACAAATATACAACGAAGCATCATTCACTTCAGTGCTAGCTGCTAGCTGCTAGCGGAATACATGTGGCTCATTGTTTTTGGGTCGGTTGTGTTGGGACACACCTTGTAGTCTCCGTTGATGACCTGGCCGAACTCTCTGTCACGCTTCCTCTCATCGGACTGGCGCTTGAGGCCACGGACGGACATGGGCTTGATGGCGGAGGTCTCCTTGGGCAGGGGGGGCACGGCGGGGGGCATCTCCTCAGGTCTGTAGAGCTGGGGGAGGGGTGGCCTGGGAGGGGCGTCATCCTCATCCAGCCCCTAGAAGGCACAAAGCAGCCTCTCTGTTTATCCTAGGGATCTACAGCCTACCGCACTGGGGAGATGTGGCATTTCTCACTCACAGATAGGTGGGGTCCCTGGTCCTGGGGGAATAGGACAGGGGACAAGAGAGGCGACTGCGAAGGCGGTTGAGACAGCTCCAGCTGCACGGGGCTGAGGTGGGGGCTCCTCTGAGGGCTCCTCTGGGGGCTCCTCTGGGGCGTCTTTGATTGGCTTGCAGGCTCACTCAAGGACAGAGAAGGCACTGAGGGCAGCGATATCGAAGGCACCAGTTTCCTTTCTAGACAGTGCAGCAGACACAGAGCGGAGTTAAGGAAGCTGGGTGGCATCTCCATGACAACAGCATCGCCATGACAGCGGGCCTGCGCGGGCAGCATCCTCACCGGGGTTCTTCACGGAGTCTATGGTGACTTTGTAGTTGGCCTTGCTGGAGCTCAGGCCCGCCATGACGTCCTCAATCCTCCACAGCTCCTTCTTCATTTCAGCTTTTTCCTGCTATAGGGACACAGAAAGCCTGCATTTAGTCTGTCTCACACAGGTCCCCAGTTCAAAAAATCTCACAAAACTCTAATATGATATAATTGAAATTATTTTTCACTCCATGAAAACTGTGATACTCATGCACCCCTCTTTCATCTCAGGGTCACAAGGACAGCTAGAGCTGGTCCCAGGCAGCACAGGTAGTGGTGTGACCTATATGGGACACCAGTCTATTACAGAGCAGGACACACGTACTGTATATATGCAGCATTACTTAAGTATAAATTAAGCGTAAAGGAAAATTAATAGGATATTCTGTTCAGTTTCAGGTTCTGCTGATGAGAGTTCCAGCTGCAGATCTGCAGTGTAAAGAATTTGGCTGATTTGGTCCTTTGTGCTAATGTGGTCACACAGGTTCCTCTCTCCACACTCCTGTCTGTAACAAGATGTGTCCCTCACTCCTGTCTGTAACTAAACGTCTCTCACTCCTGTATGTAACTAAACGTCTCTCACTCCTGTCTGTAACTAAACGTCTCTCACTCCTGTATGTAACTAAACGTGTCTCTCACTCCTGTCTGTAACTAAACGTGTCTCTCACTCCTGTCTGTAACTATATAAATATGTCCCTCACTCCTGTGTGTACTAAACATGTCACTCACTCCTGTCTGTACCTAAACACGTCCCTCACTCCCTGCAGTGACTGAATGCACTTGACCCAGTCTTAGAGTGCTCCCCACCTGAGATAGGATGGTGCTCCCCACCTGAGATACAATGGTGCTCCCCACCTGAGATAGGATGGTGCGCCTCAGCTGAGCCATCAGCGACTCCTTCAGCTGGTGCAGATCCATCTCCAGTCGGCTGTACTCATTCCAGGCATTCTCCATCTCCTGTGCAACCGAATACTTGTCAGTAAGGACACCCAGGCCAGACAGCCAACCCTTGGTTTATTTCAGAAATTGCTATTTTGCTAGTTGACTAAACCTGAGCATAGAACTTCACGTGACTCATAAGTAATATTGGTTTAACATGGTTTCTCTCACTAGGTGGCAATAGTGAGCTCGGTATGGTTTGGCTACGTGGCGGCCAGGGCCAACGCACCGTGGACACCCGGGAGATCTCAGCCCGGATGTGCACCAGGTCCTCCTGCAGCAGCCTCTGCTGGTAGGCGATTTTCTCAGCGTGGGGCGGCTGGTCGCGGTATTGCTCCATTTGCTGGTGGGATATATCCAGCACCGACTCCAGCTTGTCCTGAGAGGTGGGGGAGTCCCAGGTTTGTATAGAGCACATAGCAGATCACAGCCCAGCCACGGAGCACAGACTCCCCACAAGCATGGCAGCACTGGCTTTTGTGTGGCCACATCCGCAACGGTGACCAGGGTCACCGCCTATATATGCATCATAATAAGCAGGATGTCACATGGGCTCCGTCTGCACACCTTGTCCTCCTTCAGCATGCGGATCCGTGCCTCCAGCTCCTGTAGAATCTTATCCTGCTCGCAGAGTCTGCTTAACTTCACCTGCAGAGTGTGTGAGAGGTTTGGGATTATCTGGGCCTTTTTCTCTTGGAGTCTGTAAATAATCACTCAGGTCTCAGGGCAGCGGCACAAAGAGAACATTCTTTGTTCGGGCATCGCTATAAGAACCAGGGCATCTTCTCATCGCTATCAAACACTGTAGAGATTTGTTTTTAGTAATGTTATCAAAGATTAATATTTTAAAAATTTCTCTACAGCCGTATTTTGAAAATCAGATACTGTTTCGGAGTTAGTGATGTCTAAAGACAAAAATGAGCCCAAGAGACAAGAAAAAAACAAGCTATCAGACTTCGGGTTACAGTCTCTCTCTCCAAGCTGGTAGTTTTTTTTTTCCATACCTCTATTTATAATTCTGTAAAATAAATATTTAAGCAGCTAATATTTCGCTGCATTACATTGTTGTCTCAGTTACGTGAAATATTCATACATCTGACAAATTCACCAGCATAAATAGTTAGATTGCAACAATATAACCTTGGATAGCATGAAAAAGAATTAAAAGCAAGATAAATATCACAGTGAAAAATGTAAGAGCTCAAAATGTTTATATATATATATATATATATATATATATATACACACAGACACACACACACACACACACACACACGCAGTGCAGCATCTGCTAAATTCCTGCTCTGATAAGGAGTTTCAGTTCTGGATGATGGCAGCCAATCCAAAACACATTACATAAAGTCATACTTACGTCAACATCGCTCTCAGCTATTTTGACGGGTTTCGCCACCTTGTCTTTGAGCACTTCACGCCTGGCTACCTAAAAAAGTCACAGCAATGTCTTAAATATTATAATGAAATAGACGACCTCACAGGCAATATTCATCCTGATGTGACCGTGCATTAGCAGCAAGATTACTGAAAGGAACAAGGTCTTCATGCTAACAAATAGCTTACATGAATAACGAAGTACAAGGCATAAGGTCAAACACAGGGACTTAACTTTGTTTTGCAATACACTAAAAAAACATTTTCCATTTAATTAAACTCCTTGAAGCTCATGGGGCCTGGAGGTGTCATCTAGTCCTGAATAAAATAATACTGTAACGAAATCATTCAGGGGGCGTGGTAATTACAGCAGCCAGAGCAGGACGACTGAAAGCCCGCAATAATCACAAAATGCAGTGGAGGTCCGACCGGCAAGAGTGAGTGCTCTACATTTTCACAGATGCACTAAGGGCAGATGTAAAAGATTTGATTTGTATTTTTAGTGCCAATAGGAAAAAAGGAGCACAACCTTCAAAATAAATCCACAGGCCTGGATGGGGGAGCGACAGCAGAGGACAAAAGCATTATTGGGGGGGGGGGATTTTATCAGACAGCCACAAGCAGAACCCACTGCCACAGAACAAAGTGCTGTCACCGCCTATGCAGGACTGGAGAAGGAGCCGCCTTTGTACTCTGATCTTACTGGCTGCAGTGTGACTGCAGTCCTCTGTATCCCTACGGCAACCGCGGCTAAAGCGCAGCAACGGCGCCCAAGCATCCACTGCAGAGCTGCGGTATGGATCAGAGATGGGGACTCATTACCTATGTACTACTACCTGACATGCAGACAGATTACAACGCAAGACATGCAAGGCAGGCGAATGTCATGATTTTTGACTGAGCCACATCATGTGATTATGCAAAAAGGTTTATCTTTCTGTTTGTATATATTTTAATCAGGTGTGAGCTGTGTGTGAAGTACTCTATAAACCATACAACTAAAGAGTTCTGAATAATATTCGTAGCTGTTAAACCATTTTAATAAATACCGGTTGTTATTCATATTGGTCATAATTTATTGTGTAATCACAATATTTTATGTTCGACGGGGGGGATCTTTATTAAGGGAAACCCGGTGAGTGAGTTTAGCTGGGTGAGTGGTTAAGAGGGGAAGGAGAAGCAGGCAGGAGACGTGCTGCTGAGTGGAGGAGGTGCTGAGCGGAGGAGGCGCAGTGCGGAGGAGGCGCAGAGTGTCGGCGAGCGGCAGCGATGCTGTCCGGTCCCACCTTCAGGTCTAGATACTCCAGGTCCGACTTCAGCTGCATGTAAGTATCGTCAGCCTTCGAGCCGGGAGCGAAGAGACATGTCACATGGCGTGAAGCTGCAAGGATCACATCTACAAGCGCTACCTGTTTCTCAACACACTCGAGAGGCATCTGTCAAGGGCACAGCTAGACCGAGTTACCATGACTACAGGAAACATCCAGATTAATTCATTCTCATAATCCAAATATCATAGCAGCAGTAGGATATAGGAAAGCCAGATTCAGTTTCTGCATTACGTGCATCCTTTATGGTCAGTTCTGGGGCTATGAAGTCATCCTATTTCTCATAGCGATATTACTTCATTGACATTGAGGGTAGGTAGAATTTCACAAGCTCTAGGGTGAAGATCGAGGTCCCTTTTCGCTCTGAGAGGCACCGTCTGCTTCTATCACTGTCGGCAGGTCGACAGCAGGGGCGTGAGTGAGAGCAAACCATGGATATGGGGACGGCGTGTGACCCAAGCGCGGTACAGGCAGCGTGAGCATTCAGGCCGCACTGGCAAAGCGAGCAGCAGGCCTGCTGTATGGGTGATGATGCATGAAGAGCTCCAGGCCAGGCTGGTGTGAAATGGACAGGCAGCACATGGCAACAGGGCGGCCAGGTCCAAGCAGGAAAGGGGTGGCCGGGGCCCTCACTGAAGGGGGGCTGACAGCATTCAGCCACACAGACCCATGATGCAGTGAGGGAGGTGGGGCCAGGGGGCAGGGGGCGGGGTTACCAGGGCATAGGGGCCACTGGACGAGTGCGGAAGGGCTAGCGCGTCTCTGCACACGCCGGCCATCTTAGCCTGGTGCCTCCTTAGCTGGACGAGGAGCAGGGTCAGCTGCTCCAGCTGCGCAGCCAAGGGAGAGGGCAGAGAGCAGCTTTTTAATTTACAGTCTGCAGCCCCCTGCCCTCACCTCAGAGGGAGCAGCGGAGCACAAGGGGGGGGCATCGGCAGCTCCTGGGCCACTAGAACCACAGTGTCTTCTGGGGTCTGTCATGGCCCAGCCGTGTCCCTCTCAGAGGGGCCCTCTACCAGTAAATATGCTGCTTTTACACACACACATTCTACACTAAACAGCGGTGCTGGCTAAAACACATACAGTCAGAGGTGACGGAACTTCCCAGAATATATAACATGACGATTTTGCTACTCTGACAACAATGTGAAGGAGCCTTACCGTTTTTCCGTACAAGCTAGGTGCGCTGACGGTGTGCGTCATGTAGCCCATGGGTGGTATTGACTTCCTGTGTGTTGGGGTCATCTGTGGGATCAATGAGGAATACAGGTAAATCACACACGGCAGCTCTGAGGAAAATGACGATTACAGGTAAAGTGAGGTATTAGGAGGTGACACAGTTCTACTGAATTTTTATTACACAGGTATTCATACTACAGTACTACAGGAAAATGGGCCTTATATGACTTAGTAAGGTATAATAATAAGAGTAACAATTTAAATGCATTTGACATAAATATCTCCTGCAAATCAGTGACATAAGTGCATAATTTACCATGGACAAAACAATTTTTTTAGCACTGGTATCCTTGTAGTACCGATACTTAAAGTAGTATCAATATGGAGGTCATTATTTTGGTCTCGTGACAGCAGTACTGTGAACCAAAGTTTTGTGTAAAAAAAAAAAAAAAAGGAAAACTTCCTCCTGGGCCCGGTTCATGCATAACATACAAATGTGTCAGTCGCATCACTGACGTCATGTCTGTGTTCTGTCCCCGGTTAGCGATCACACTGCATCCGCACCATGCCCGAGTCAGACTAATCGTGCTCTGGTCCGCCTCTCCACGGTGCGCAGCGATCACACTGCTCAAATGAACTGGACTTTGGGAGTCAAACTTGCTCCGGCATGGAACAGAACAGCTAGTGTGACATGCAGTGTGACATGCAGTGTGGCAACAGAGAGCGACATTAGCATCTCTTCAATTATGGGATATCAGTTTCTGTGCAATTTGTATTTGTATTTTCTGTAAAAGTGATTTAGTTTGTACTTCTTAAAAGGCTACTATTCCATAATTATGCAGCATGCCATTGAGGCAATCTGAAGACGCACCAAACTGCCTTCTGTGTGAGTGTGCCAGAGAGGGTGTACAACACCCTCGCGATGGACGGCCATCCTTTGTGGCGGCATCCTGCCTTTGTCCCTTTCTTTCCCAGGATGAGCTGCAGATTAGCTCAACCAGAGATGGATGACCAGATTACCACAAACGGCTGACAGACCTCTTCCAATATTAGAGGAAATTCTACCTTACAAGCCTTGTGTATTTGAGTCTATTGCATTTCATGCAGAATGAAAGGGACTAAAAGTGTACAAACACCAAAAGTAAAGAATCACGCATAGACCTGTTTTGCTGAACACGTATTTACTACCAGCAATAGAAGCAGGCTGAGCTACCCAAGCCTAATATCCCAGAGATCAGAACATTTTTGAAATGATCCTTGAGTTCCTTTATGAGTTTTAGCATCAGCCCAGACCTGCCCTTTTGCCACCTGTCATCTTTCACTGGTCTCCTGCCTGTATTTTTCCTTGACTGAATATCTATCTTATTGCATTTTTCTCTTAGTACTGTATTGCTAACTTGCACTTGTTCCTGGACATGTCCAGCACCCTCAGCTTCCTGGGAAAACTCATCAGGATGCAGCACCGGATAAGCGCTCGTGTACGACGGAGGGCGCCATCGCAAGGCGCCGCGGAGGTGAACCAGGGGCAGGGCGCTGCTCCTCCTCGCCGCTTACCCTGCTGTTCTTGGAGCGCTGCGTCTCCTGCGGGGAGCTGGAGGGCGGGACCCTCACCACCGACCTCTCGTCCATTGGCCTAACGGTGACCCGCTCGGCTGGCGTGTGCGGTCTCCGGGGTGACAGGGCTTTCGGGGGGGGCCCCGGTGGCGGGATGTCGCAGGGGGATGGGGGCACCGAGATGGAGCGGGGCACGTCCAGGGCCGCCCTGTAGGGGGCGGGCTCGCCGTAGTCGGGGGAGACGCTGTAATTGGGCGCAGTGGGGCTGCCGTGCCGGAAGTGCTGCCGCTGCTGCCACTCGTAGAGCTGCCATACCGTGCCCTCCCTGCTGGCGGCGCGCTCCCCCGTCGACATGCGCAGGTGGCTCAGTCGGTCCTGGGCATACTTGTAGTCGCTGGGCAGGTGATGCTGCACTGGGGAGGATCCACCGGCCGGGGAGGGCTGAGAGCTTTTCGGTAGGGACTGGTATGCCTGGAACGCATGGGCCTTGGCTTGTGCTGGGGGGGTCCGCCGTGGCAGCGTGAGCTCAGAGGCATGGAGGCTGAAAATCAGGATGACCGCATTATGAAGGGGAGCGCAGTGCCAACGCTGTCAACACCTATACTTACTCGTATAAAGCCTATACTACTGGCCAACTCTACCACATTGTTTTAAATGCCTTTCATTGATCTACATGTAACATCCTTCATCAGTGTTAGTGTTATTACACACTACACCCAGCAGAGGGTGCTGTTGTCCTTCATTAAATAATTTCTTCTCCAAAAATATCAATAGGCTTGTAGGGAAGTGAGGGACAGTGCGGCTTGTTACAAACTGATTAGTAGTTTGCAGTGAAAAAGGGGGGGCTGTGCCCTGATGATTTCTTCCCAGTGCATAAATACATCTTGCCATATACTGTATGCATGAGTGCTTCCATATGTGGTCCAAAGATCATGGGACAAACACGAAGCCATTTTAACCACGTTTACAAGGTTCTATAGGAATTATCAAAGGGAATTAAAAGCAGAGCTGTAAAGTTAAAAAGTAATTTCTTAATGTAGGGATGTAATGTAAACTATGGCCTGCAGGGGAGAGGTGTGTGTGTGTGTGTGTGTATGTGTGTGGGTGTGTGTGTGTGTGTGTGTGTGTGT